CTGTTTTGATGCCATTTACTACGCGGGTAAAAAGGTTAGCTAGCAGTTGGACTGTGAGAGAGCTACGCAGCAGGGGTGTACTGGGGATAGACCCAGGTAAACTCTTTGAAATGAAGCCAAAGTTTACTCATCTAGGGATTCATCTGTGTGATCAGCCCCTTATATGAGAAATGAAAGAATCCTTTTATATTTCTGAGATATAAACAATGAATATTCCTTTTCTTTGTAAAGGTGAAACTGAAAATACAACCCTGTCAACTACAGAAAACAGCCTCATACCTTTCACCATGTCTTCTCTGTTACCTTCTGACTCTGATTCTGATTCTGATCTGACCTTCTTACCTTTTTCATTTTCTGACACAAATCTTTGCACCTTGCTGACGCGAGTGACGTCAAAAGAATTTCTCTGCTGTTTAGTGGAGTATCATGATTCTTTTTTCATCTCACTGATTTGAATCTTCATTTATAGTATAAAGCCTAGTCTCTGTAAAGCCAAGACAGTTTGTAGAAAGTCGCTGTAGTAAATCCTCCATCAGAACGAATCACCTTTCATCACATCCCCGTCCTCTTAGATTAGGGACATACGTTGAACATTTTAGCCTCCATCTGACCACAGTTTTGTCCGTCTGTTCCTTGTTATAATGATCCTCAAATAACATAGAACCTGATAGTGCCTTGTGTCATTCGTCATACCGATGAACATTACAACATGCTCCTTACCTCCCCTTACATATAACATACATGTTGTCACGCCACAGTGTTTTGATCTCTGCTGAGACCGACTGTCTCTTCTACGTGTAAAAGACAAGCCCTCTGCCCTGCAGTAGATTTGTAATACAGACTGGATGTCGGATTGGAGGCGCCTGAACTCGACACTGCTGTTGTATTCTTGGACTCGGTGCTGTCAGATGTTTTCAGGCCGATCCTGGAGGGGCCGTTGGGCTTGTTATTGTTGAAACGCTGTCAGCTGAATGAACAAATAGTACTCTGAAAGCCAGGAGATTAATAATGTGAAGCTCTGCTAAAACAAACTATTAACAAGATGCAATTTCTTCAGGACCACCGGGGTGAACTGCGCTCTCCAAAGCCGAGGTATGCAGGCACACTTCTATTACAGTACTTGTGAGGAACCTTGCAGTTTTATTCACCAAACTAATCGTAAAAGCAGGTAATTATTGAAATGTGAACTTTAGGAATTAAATATACAGACATTTTGTAAAGGTTGTAGAGGTTCAGAGTTCAGTAGTGAGTCCAGATTTCCCCTCAGTAAAGGGCTCCAGGAGAAACTTTGGGATGTAGGACCAATCACGAAAAACATTAACGTCCCTATAGAGGTTGTGGGCCTTGTGCATGGATTGTTTGTATGTACAGATTTAGTACAGAAACCAATTTAAGATAAGAATTTAAGAGTACCCGAGACCACACGTAAGCCAATATGCACAAAAGCCAACTTGCATTTTGTGTTGTGAAATATTAATAATAATAAAAAATCTATTAACTTACTTACATTAACACAGAAGGAAAATACAGGAATGTATTCATGTAATCAATTTAAATGATTGCACTTGTTAAAGATTATTAACACCGTGGCAGATTCTTAAAACTTGCATGTCGTTCTGGAGCCTCTAGACAAAACGATCTAATCCCACCACCTCATCTGCAAGTACTCACCGCTATCAGTTTCCTGGCTCCAGAGAAAACGATTGGTGATAGTTCTGGCATTTCCTCGTCTACTGTTAGTCGTGGGCTCCCCAAAGTTATCCAGGATATCATCCAGTTTACACCACAGTAGATTCAGCAGTTTCCATTTACCGCTGCTCAGCATACCCAGATAAATCAACAGCTCCAGCGGATCTAGAGAGTTGGCAACTGCCACCTGTAAAATAATACCTGGCCTCCCAGCGTTGATATGAAATTTGACACATTAATTTAGATTCATTTGAAAGATAAAGTGTTAAAAAACGGAAATTAACACGTTAATGATCTGTTCTGGCCACATTGTAGACTGAGTGATAGACTTCAATGAAAAAATATGTATTTGGAAATAAAACAATGATTTCTAATGCCACCTTTAGATATTTCTATTCAGTGCTTTACTAATGTGACACAATAATGTAATGTTTTTGAGTGATTGTTTGCAATTAAATCTCAATATCCGCCCCTGGACTGTACTCATGCGTCCATCAAGGCACCATTTCCAAATCCTCAAAAGAAAACAATTCCATTCACTCAACGTGTAAATAATATGTGATAAACAGAATCCCACCTTAAACACGGTGGCCCACCAGCTACACCCCGACAGAGAAACCTCTCCACTGATGGCTCAAATGTGCTCATCCTCGTCTGTTGTTTTTGCATTTTCCTGTCTCTGTAATTTGTAGGCGTCCATTTTCAGATCAAACCATTCTTTTGATTTCTTCTGCACATTTAGCATTAATTGTACTGGTGCCGGTTTACAGTTTTCTGGACCAGTGACCCCACTGCTCACACTTGAAGATAAGAAAAGTTTGCTGTTGAGTTTTTCCAATGTAATTTTTGGGCTCTTTGAGCACCACGAGCCATTGAAGCCATCTGGTTCCTTTATATTGGAGAGAAGGCAGACATGAAGAAGCTCTTTTCAGCTCAGTAATTTGTTGTGTTTTGACTGAACAACATCTGTTGTTGGTGTTATATTGTCGACTGCTAACCTTTAATGGGTCCGTTGGGTCCAGTCAAAAGTGTCCAGAAGCCCAAAATCTACAGCAGTTTAAATCTCCAACCAGAACTGAACCAAAGGTTAACTCAGGTCAGATCAGGTCCACTGATTTTTGTGGGGTCAACTCTGCATAAAGGCCTTTAAATGGAAGCTTCTGGCTACAGAAACCCCACTTTGTAAATATGAAGATTATTATTTAATCAGCTCCATTCGTCATTTCACCTATAAAAGGTCAGAAAATGATTGTTATTCCAACCAACACCACAAAACCTGAATGTATTTGGTTTACAAAATCAGAAAATCCTCAAAACAAAGAAGCTGGAACGAGTGAATGTAAAAAAATGATTTGATTGTTTTTCTATTGATTGACTAATCAGTTAATTCTAACCTCAACCTGAACTCCATGAGAGTCCTCACTTCTTTCTCAGCTTGTACTTCTGGCCTCACAAGGATTGAAACACAAGAACACACACACTTTGATGGCGGTTGTAGACACTTCAGCTCCCCTCTCTTAATGTGACCTTTTCACAGTCTTGTGACCCACGGCCACCGCTTAAGTATGTGCAGTTGCTCGGCGGCTCGAGGCAGCAGCAGGCAGATCTGTATCTCAGAGCTCCTCTGCATCAGGAACTTGCAGATGAAGAACATTAGAGCTCTGGAGGATCAGAGCCACTGGACATGTGCTGGACAATAACAAACCACGAATTTCTAAGCATTCCCACAAGCTGTGTTGTGGTCCACCTTGTTAAAACATGTGGTTCCCATTGTGGCCAGAGCTCTCTCTCTCTCTCTCTCTCTCTCTCTCTCTCTCTCTCTCTCTCTCTGGCTTTCTTTTACCGTCTCTCTCTCCAAGTACAACAAACTTTTGGAATGAATCCTTAGACCAGTTGTAAGACCCAGTTTGGCCTTCATCTTGGCTGCTGTGTGTGTGTGTGTGTGTGTGTGTGTGTGTGTGTGTGTGTGTGTGTGTGTGATATGACGTTGATAAAATCATTATCTTCAGGAATTAAAGGCTCACATGTTGCTCTCTGAAACAAATTTTGGGTCCCTTGTGTTCCCTTTTTAAGTGATAATCTGCTCGATTCTTTCCTGCCTTGATTTTGGCTGCACCGTTAATAATAAGCAATCCAACATGCTGTAATAATAAAGACACTCAGTGACTCAGAGTGGACTGAGTGTCTCTTATATTTCTACCTTTTTTTTTTGTTTTTAAATTCCAAACAAACCCCCGCTGCAGCTCCTATTTCCCGCCAGGAGAAGACAACAGTAAAGTTAGGAAAGAGTTCATGCAGATGTTCTGAGTTATTAGTGTTCTTGTTCCTGCAGTGTGATGTTTGAATGTGCAGAGTTTGACACTAGAATGATGTTTTCTCATTCATCCCCTGAAAGTGGAAAGTTTCTCTGAGCTCATTGAAAATCTGATTTTAAGGGGCGGGGCCTACGAGCATGTTTTTTGACATCACAAAATCAGGAAGTCCATTCTGGTCCAGTATGAAACTTCTACAGTTTCAATGTGGATTGAAAACGGATTGAAATTGCAGAAATACCTTTACCTTTTTTTCTTGGTCGAAACCTATAAAACTGTACTCTGCTGTAACTTGATGTGTCAGTTGGTAAAAACTACATTCTGCAATGTGTAAAGTTGGATTTATACGGAAGCCCTAAAGGGCCATGCAGTCATACATTTTATTTCCTCCGTTTTCCCGTGATAACGAGTTCATTTTCTCGAGATCTCGAGATAATGAAACTTTGTTTTCCTGAGATAACGATATAATTAATTTGAGATCTCGAGATAATGACTGTGATATGATAACTGCGGTCAGGCCAGCCGTTACTCCCATCTCCGTGGTCATATTAGCCACACTTAATTTACAGCGTATTCACTTCCGGTTTTCAAAATAAAGGTATTAAGAACAGTAAGCTATAATTTGAATGTTACATTAAAGTGTTTCATGCACCCATGATGAATAAAAAAACATACTTAATATCAAGCATTTCTACTGCACCAATGTGGAGAAATGCCAAACCAAAAGTTCCATATTTGTATCTCCAAGTGGCATATTTTCATATATACAAATTTTACTTTACTGAACTTTTCTTTAGTTCACTTGATGTTGTTTTCCACAGTGCACAACCTCCACCAGCACTGGAAACATATAGGACAAAACAACAGCAGCTCAAGTTGACTGAGACCAAATGTTTGTCTTTTCTACTCTAACTGTTGCATATGAATACAGGATAGTGTAGAGAAAGGGCCTTTGCATTATGTCATCATTTGTGACCTTTATTGTGTTTCTTTCTGCAGGTCCTCCGGGGCCAAAGGGAGAGAAGGGTGATACTGGACCGCTGGGGTCCCCTGGAGCTCCTGGGTTGACAGGCTTGAGAGGTGGGTACAACCAGACTACCACTCATCAGCTTTAAAAAGGCTGACCTTAGAATAATCAAAATGCTCAAATTACCTATTAAAGGAACAGTCAGTTACATTTTATTTGCGTGTCATGCCTTTCCCCCTCATTTCCCGTGTGCCTCAATACTCTGATATCAGATATTTTAAAAACAGTGTTAAACAGAAAACTGAATCCAGGAGACTAGCTAGCTTAGCTCAGCATAAGGACTGAAAGCAGAGGGAAACAGCTAGCCTGACGTCAAGACTCCAAAAGGGTCACTGCTCCGGGCCAAAAAGTAGTCTGGAACATAACCTCCCATAAACCACAATGTGTCACTGTTACACTTTGATTTGATTCAACAAACCGGAGCTGGGACTTTTTCCAGTCTCTGTGTTAAGCTAAGCTAACCATCTCCTGGCTCCAGTTACATATTTGACAGACAGATTTAAGAGTGGTAACGATCTTCTCATATAACTCTCAGCAAGAAAGGGAAGCATATTTCTCAAAATGTGAAACTATTCCTTTTACAGAATAATTCAGGTCAAAAGCACCACATTGACAAACACTATAATATGTATTGATCCTGTAATTGATTGTTGGACTATTTCTGATTTAATGAATGTGACGAGACTACCAAGCACAAAGTCAGATAGTGATCGGCGTGGTGAGTTTTATAAGCCCTAAAGGTCCTTATGATACATAAACATTGTTTTATGCAAGGGGATTTCGGTTTCAGTGGAATGAAAAGGTGAAAATCGAGCTTCTTTTCACACCAAACAGACTTTGGCTGGTGTTATTACCTCTGCTTTTGTGATTACATTCAGTTGCATTAATAGCGCAGTGAGCACAGAGAATAAAAAAGGTCATATAAATCCGCTTAAGAAAACAAGGCCCCAGACTTTGGATGACGATTTATTTTCAGTCGGGGTGTGGACAGGCCCGTTGGGACGGGTCATCTATCTCTGTCTCGCAGGTAATTCCACCAAAAAAAAAAAAAAAAACCCACAACATGAACCCTCATCCAGACAGAACTGGCATCTCAGCGCCATTAAATGACAATTTTTCATAGATATTGTAAGATGCAAACAACACTAACATGAATTCACATGTTCTGGGACCCTTTCCAGCTAGGTACCTCTTGAATCATCACCCTTGAGCTCCTCCCCTGTCATCATCCATCCCACATTCCCAGGCTGATGGACTACAGCTCTCACATGACATTTCCAAGAAGCATTATCTTCCTGCTGAAAGGAAAGCACCCCCACCGCTGCCATAGTTCCAGGAAAAAGTGAATAAAAAGAATTTCTAACTGTAGGGAAGAAGGAAAAAGGCTTTTTTTAATAGTTAGCATGAAAACATTGCAAATTGAATGGAAACCCCCGCCAGGACCTAAACAGAACTACCCCCAACATCCATTAGGCTGAGGTCTTTAGTGAGGGCTGTCAGCTCTTGGGGATTTTTAATCAAAAGTCTCAATGGTAATGATCAGTCTCTGCAGGGTCGTTTGGTCATGTCTTTAAATTAGACCTATATTTGTCAAAAGAAATTCACCCTAGTTTGAGGAAACCTCCAAAAACAGCAACAATGAACAAATTATAGGTACTCACATTACTGTATTTAAGTCATATTTGGGTACTAAGTGTGTAATTGTACGCTTACTTAAAGGTCCAAAGTAAAACATTTAGGAGGATCTATTGGTAGAAATTGAATAAAATATCCATAGGTATGTCTTCATTAGTGTATAATCACCTGAAAATGAGAATCATTGTGTTTTTGTTACCATAGAATGAGACGTTTTCACGCCCAAGGGTCTCCTTCTTTGAAGGCCGCCATGTTGAACCACATTTGGTGATCTGCACCAAATCCTTTGTCCCAAATGCCGTGGAGGTAATAAATGAAATTGGGATCCGGTAGACGAGGATACTGAGTGTTGTTCTGGACTTTTGTTTTTTTGCTCAGTACATTAATGTGATGAATTCGATGAGTATTCATAAAGAGCTTCCAAACAGAAAATAGAAACGGATCTAGACAGAATTTTGGACCAAATCTGAAACAGACTTGTGGAAAACTTTCCAGAATACGACATATATACATTTTCAAGTCACTTTGTCCGTTCTGGGCTACTGTAGAAACATGGCGGTTCAACATGGTGGCCTCCGTAGAGGAGGACCCACTCTCTCTGTAGATAAAAACGTAGAAAAAACGATAACAAAAACACACTAATTCCTATATTCAGGTGATTATACATTAATGAAAACATACCTGTGAATATTACATTCCATTTCTGACAATAGATCCTCTTAAATGTTACAAATTAGTCCTTTAAGTTAGCATGTCTGTTGGTTACAGTCGGAGGTTTGGATGCTAACATGTCTTAAGCTAATTAATGACATTAGAATAAATGTTAGTTTTCAGATATCTTCCTTTCTGCTGACGGCAGACATTATCTGTTTGTAATGCAGCACATGTACTTCTGTTACTGCATTTGCATTGAGGCCAAAGGAATCTATCATCACATCCAGGCTTTAAAAATCCTTTTGGACTTGTTGAGCGATCTTGTTGGATTGTCTCACACAACACAAAGAACACTTCCAAAATATGATTGATAGTCTTTTCCCAGTGGGTTTCTCTGAGGAGGGAGTTATTGACCCTTCACAGCGGAGAGACAGAGAACATGACATCATCCATCATCAGCTTATTTTGTGTCTCTGGCTCTAATGCATTGGGTCTAATTATTTCATTCTGATTGCTGAGTAGTCACAACAGTGTAATCAGAGCATGTCAGCGACAACAGTGCAATCAATAACTCATTACCACATTAGTTTGGAGACATGTGCTTACTGTAAACATTCTCATTGTGTGCCCCAGGGTTAGGAGTGTGCAGGAAATCTGAAGGATTGTTTTATGAAACAAAACAGAACAGTGCTTTTCTTCCAGCAAGCCTGCAGAGATTGAGGCGTCTGGTGGAAGACAGACCAATATCCAACATTTTGAAATGAAGTCAGGTTGGGCAGGAAGTAACGAAGCATTTAAAAGTCAAAGTTATGGTATAGGCTTGCCATGAGTTACAAGTAAAAGTTAACTTGAATCACTTATTAATGAATGTCCTCATTATAAGGATTTATGATTAACCAATTCATTATTTCATGGACTGGATTTGATTGGAGGCTTTCTAGTTCCAATGCTAATTATAAGGAGTTTTTAAATTGTTTATTTAGTGGAACAAATCAGAACCAACTCCTGCTGTAGTGTATTTATTTGAGTTATTTTAAAACTGCCAAGAAACAAAGATGGATATGAAAAAACAATGACTCTAACTTTAACCTCTTATAGTCTAATTTTAATAATGTCTGAACTAAACATTTTTAGCAAATATACTTAAAGGTCCAGTGTATAACATTTAAGGGATCTATTGTCAGTAATGGAATATAATATTCACAGGTTTGTTTTCATTAGTGTTTAATCACCTGAATAAAAGAATCGTTGTGTTTTTGTTTTCTTAAAATGAGACGTTTTTTATCTACGGATTCTCTGGAGTCCTCCATATTTCTACAGTAGCCCCGAAGGCACAAACCAAACACTAGCTCTACATCGAGGCCTTTGGAAGAGGAGGGTGAAGCAAGGCCACTAAATCCAACAGAATTCAGTTTCCCCGCGGGAGTCATCCCAAAAGGATCAATAAAGAGAAGTCTAAGTCTAACACACTGGACTTTTAACATTATTTACACTTAAAGCAGATAAAATCCATAAGGACCTCTGAATGGAGTCCTGTCTAGCAGAGTCAGAGGACCAGAGGAGTTATTGATCATTTATTGAAATTAAGCTTGTATGTGTTTCAGGATTTACAGGAGAAAAAGGCATGCAGGGCCCCCGGGGAATGAAAGGGCCCAGTGGGGTCGACGGTGTTCAGGGTGAAAAAGGAGAAGTCGGACCTACTGGTCCCAGAGGTATGTCTTTTATGTCTCTTTATCTACTCTATGAAAGCAAATAACAGCTAATTTATGCTCATTTTTTGCATGATCCATTGTGGTAATGGCTAAGAACTTTCAATTAGGAAATATATGGAACATAGAGCGCTGATTAATTATTATAATCAGAGAATAAAATAATAATCACCATGTAAAAAATATGAGGTTGTGGACTTAATGGAGCAAAAGTAGTAGGCGGATTAAAGTGAGTCATTTACTCGTCCAACAGTTCGTCATTCACAGGTCGGTAGAAAGAAATCCTGTTGCTCCCTGCAGTCTTATATAGCTCACAGCTGAATCTTGTCAACGCGTTCACAGCTCAAATCATTTCAGACGTTCAAACTGAGAAACTTTCCATGAGATGTTACATTTTCTGCCAGAATATAAACTTCCTTTCCAGGAATTCTTCAGTGCAACCAAATCTTTCACACATCTTCCATCACTAACAGGTGGCACCGTTCTCTTCGTTGGAAGCTGTAATTGCTTAACTATCCATGTCTTCCTTAATTTATTCCAAAATAGCCGGTTTGCACAGGACGTCACATTTGAAGCACTATGACAAACTCTTAAAATGCCTGTTTTGAGTTGTTAACGGTTGATGAAATCTGTCAAACTGAGAAATCCAGTGGAGCTTTTATTGAGTACCAAAAGATGGAAAAAATGCTTGAAGAAAATGCTTCAGTTCCCCATTGGAAAGGGCAATTCTTCACTTAAATAGGCTATGTTTTGCTGCTGCCCTGTCCACAGAAGTACTCACAAGCCATTTTTTGTGTTTTTTGGTCAATTTCTTACCATTTCCTCTGGGGAACACAAAATAACACAAACAAACTAACCGACTGAGGCAGCAGTAGGCAGTAACTCCCTCGTTCTGCAAGGTGGAATTACTGGTTTTATTTTTTTATTATCTGTCTGGAACCATATTATGACTTCAGTTCCCCGTCGGAAAGGGCAAGTCTTTCAATTCAACTAATATGAATCACTCCTTTTCATAATGTCAGAATCACTTATAACCTATGTTAGGATGTTCTGTTTGTACCTTTCTCTTGTAATATTGTTTAAACTAGCACAGCACGGACTTTCCTCCCTCTGACACTTCGCGCGTCATCAATCACATGTCTGTGCTAATTAAATCAGTTCAGTTCAGCTGTTTTAAATGAGTCGATAAAAGAAATTATTTTACAACATATAATAATTCATAATTTTCCTGACATTTGTAAAAGGAATGTAGTGGTCCACCGCAGCCACTCATCTAATTATTATATATGCTTTTATAGAGAGCGTTGGAGAGTTTAAGCACACCTGTAATTCTTATATATGATGCAAAATCCATAATCAAGACAGCTGAATAAACCATTATGCATTAAATGAGAACATTCTGTATTTCCAGCACTTTTCCATTGCACAAGATAAATATGTATTTATTTGACGTGAGCATTCAAATTGTCCAACATGAGAATAACCTGCAACACAGATGGGATTTGATGCCAACTTTCTGGGAAAAAAAAGAGTTTAAACACACGATACCTTGATGAACTAGAGATTCCTTTTCTCATTCTCTCTGCCATTTATCCATTTATCCAGACCAGTCTTTATAAACCCCCGGGGTGCTGATGTTTCCACTCTGGCATCAGGAGATGGTCAGGGCCAGCAATAACAAAAACACACACAGAGTACCGTCGGGGAAAACACAGCCATGACAAATATGATAAGGCGCTGAAGTCTTTTTCGTGTCATTGTGTGTGTATGTATTATGTGTGTGTTTTTAGGCAACAGCTGTTGCCGATCAGATTTGGGTTTGGCTTAAATGTCCGGTGCTGGAGTCTCACAGTCCCTTTGTTGGCCAGTAGCTCTCAGAGCTTTGGACCAGGCTGATCCGATGTGCACGCTTAGTTGTTATGGTTTAAAACTCGGCTCCGGAGTCCACTCTAGTTTGGGGCATTTTTATATAAATAGATAGGTACCGAATGCTGTTCCGCCTTTACTATTACAACATACCGTGAAATTTTCATGTAGCCTAAATCAGATCACCAAACAACTTCCTGTTTCCAGTATGTGTGACTATGACAAATATGAATATTTGCATGTGTAGATGAAAATTACACTGAAGTTACAAAAACGTCCTGTTTCTTACCAAAAAATAAAAGTTTGACGCCACTGTGCATCATCATGGTCTTTACATTGCACTGACATAAGTTGAAGAAAAGCCAATCATTTCCCTAGAAGGAGCTCAAAGTAAAAGGGGCCAAAAATGACCACTACATTCAAAATGGCCGACTTCCTGTTGGGTTTGGGGTATGGCTCCAAGACACTTTTTTTTACATCTGGATATGCGTACCAATTTTCAAACATATCAGTAAAACGTAAACACACACAGGTTACACAATCTCACACCCAAAAAGGAGGAATATACCCAACAGTAGTTAACAGTTAAGCTTCTTAGATGGCTAATTAGCAACACATTAGCCACTGACAGCATAACTGCTAGCTTGGTTAGTGGTAAACAATCTAATAACAGCTATAATAAAAAGAAAACTTACAGAAAAAGCTCAAAAGAGGACATTTGGGGAGTAGTTAAAAGATATTTGCGTGACAGAATGGCGACTGTGACAATGTCACTTAAACTGCTACGGAACTCTGCCAGTAGTGGTTGCTATAGCAACAGAATGTTCAACTGATGGCAACTGTGAACATTCCGTTTATACTCCAAACAACCTGTGTTTACCGGCTCTTTATTAGGAAAAAATCTTCTGTTAAGGCCACATTTAATGTGTTAGGGTACTGTTTACACTCAGGTCCAGATTGTTAGTCGTGTATGGCTGCGGCTCCCAACCTTTATTTAGAATATAAACTGACGACCTCTGAGATATTTTATGGATATTTCATAATATATTCAGTGTTTAACAATAACAGCAGAGAACAGCTGATGAACTGTACAATGAACCCAAACAGTGAACACAATGACTGCAGGAAGTTTGTGTAAACCAGCATATACAATTATCTGTCTTTATTGTGTGTTTTTTTTATAGTTTTTAACAAACATACTTATTGGTCTTTTGACAAATTCTGTGTTTTCTTCAGTTGTTTTTCTAATGCAGGCAAATTTAGATCTAAAATAATCTAAACTTCAAAAACAACAATTTTATTTTGTTTTCTTCACAGAAATGAACATTATGCTGAGATATAGCCCTACAGTGTATATTTTTAAAATGTTCTTACATCCCTTAAAACCAAGAAGGCCCTGTGAAGCCTTGGCGACCCCAACCACTGGTGTGTGGTGGTCTTTTGTTTGGAGTACACAGAACAGATTAGCACGGGCAGCAAAAGCCACCATGGCTGAACAAACACGAAAAGGGTGTCACCAACAAAAACTCTGGTACTGGCCACATTGTTTGATTGACAAGTTAATTATGTAAAGAGCAGTTCAAAACACCACACAAAGAAAAATGGAGACAAGATGAAGAAAACAAGGATCGTCTCTGGGATGTTTGGCCATCTCCACTCTGGCAGTTTACAACAATGTCTGTCTGTGCTTCCACCCATCTGGAGTCTTGGTTGTGGGTTTAACAAACCAGTGGAGGGTGAAGAGTTTGTAGACTTTCTGGTGTGAACGGGGCCTCAGAGGAAGGCAGTTGCTCAGCTGTGGAGGGAGGAGAAAAAGCTTGTTAAAACAGCACTGGGAAGCTTCATGGTTTCTTTTTATGTTTGAATAGTAGGTAGACTGAGCAGGGAGTGCATTAGGTGTTGGTTGTGAAGCATCACAGATCAGCTGAGTTTGACAAGCTGTCTTTACTGAAAACACCACTGCTGCCAATTCTTGGTGTTTAAAGCCGCATTGATGATTTGGCTAACAAGCTGACAGACACAGCCCAGAAATATCATCATATCATCAAGTGGTTATGTATGTAGTCATGTATTTACTCATCCGATCGAGCAACCTCAGCATTCATTTGGAGCCAATATTCAGTCACATCTTTAGCTTTTTAGCTTTTAGCAACATCTGTGTCTTAAGCTGCAAAACTTTCCAATGTTCCTCTGCCATTTGGTACCGAGTTAGCACACATTGGGTTTTCATGTTAAAAAGAGTTAAAAAGCACCAAGATCTAAACAGTGGATGGTAACAGTGTGGCTTCAGACTGGATCAACAGTCAATGTATGACAGCGTCTGGCAGACAACCACAACGCTGACGCAGGCACAAAGGGGATATTACAATAAAACACACCATTACCTGAATAAAATGATTTCTGTGCAGGTTTGTACAGATCTAGTGTTTACAGACATTTTAATGTGGAAATGTTACATATTACAGCTCTAAAACTTTAAAATGTCTTAATCAATAACATTGTGTATCAAACACAGCTCTTTAGGGAGCTAACAAATACTACTGTTTAGCTTTTTTAGAATGCCAGTATTTGCTAATTAGCGCTGAACACAAAGTACTGATTGAAAAGTCAGAAGATTGCCGACATAATGTCCACACATGACCACCTTGGTTAGTACCATATTTTTTTGGACTCCTGCACCAATAAAATAGTTGAAAACTGGTGGAGCGGCAGACCAACTTCACCATCCACACCGCTAATGTTCGCTAAAAATGTTCATTTGTGAAGCTTTACTTTAATTCCAGACATTCACATATTGCTACCATTCAGGGCCGCCGGCATACTAAATCAATTGTGCACTTTTAAAATCCAAAGCATCTGTTGTCTCTCTTGTGGATCAGTGGCTTACAGTGTGTTTGGGCTTTCCCTGCAGTGTTATTTAGTCGTTAAGGATGTGGTCAAGATGGAGGTGTGGTGTTAGCTACTCAGACATGGACGCACACATACAATGACACACACACTAGGTGGGACTGAGTGCCACCTCGGGCTGGCAGCCACGCTGTGGTCTTGGATGTGAAAAAAAAGAGTCAAATTAAAGGTGGGATAAATGCCGACTTGAGGCCGATCCTCTTATAGCTTCATGGCGAAAACAGACTTTGTGCTTTTTTCAAAACCTCAGGGCTGAAAATTTGCCACGAATGCCGCTGAAGACAGACCCTCTCCTGCTTTTGGAGGTTATTGCTGGGAGTTTGGAGCAGAAATGTATTTTGAAATGAAAACAAATGAGAAATAGTCGTATCCAAGCTGCTGATCGGAGGGAGGTGTTGTGTGTAAATGTGCCGTAATTTTGCAGAAACCACAAATGAGACTTCCATCGATTGAGCGGTGCACTAACGTTTCCAACATGCAAACATCTACGCTGCCTTACCTTGACACTGCTACTTTTATTTCAGTCTGTTTCCAATACGTCCACTCCACGGCAGAAAAAACTACGTTTAACCACAACTTTTAGGGGTAAATTAAGCAGCAGGGGCAGGGTGGGTATCCTCTAATTTTACATTTAATGCCCATATCATAAGGCGAGATTACAGGACTGAAAGGAGTACAAAGGAGAGGAAATGGGTGTGAGGTAGAGGAACGGGTTTTAAAATGTAAACCTGAGCTGTTCCTGTGTTATTTCATTTCCACCCACAAGTCTGCCCCCATATGAGCTATAGAGTGGTTTTATACTGTAATATGTGTAAGTTTTAGTTGTGAGTGTTGGGTTCAGATGATGAAAAGGTCTATGACCATTGTTGGTCTTTAATTAAAAACTATATATTAATAGTTTCATCCAAGTTTGATATGATTATATGGTTCTTGTTTTACTGAAACCTGCAGACAAACCTGTGTGCCGTTATGTTATAGAGCAACACTGAATCTGTCCAAAAAGAGGTGTATTAAGTCTGTATGATTGTTGAAAATGATAAAAATACATAATACAGACAGAGAATTGTATAAAAAGTTCCCTAAACAGGAAATAATCTGCTCAAAATTCATCCAAATCACTCGTTTTACACAAACTTCCTGCAGTTACTGAGTTCACTGTTTGGATTCATTGTACAGTTTTTATTATGATATGAAATATCCATATAATATGTCACAGAATCAGTTTAATAAATGATAGAAAAGGGGTCTTTTAAGGGAAAAGGTTGGGAATCACTGATATAGAGGCTTTTTCTGCTCAAGTAATAACAAAATCAGAGCGACTCGTACTTTATTAATGTGATATTTCAGTGCTATTATCTTCAGTGTTTTATATATATTGATTTTCAGTTTGTATTCTCGTTTCGTCCTCAGGTGACAGAGGAGAAAGAGGGCTGAAGGGGGAGAAAGGCGATCGAGGAGACCGAGGAGAGAAAACAGGTAAGAGCTGATAAACAGTGTGAAGAAGTGACAGTATTCAGTCCACAACAAAGAAACAGCAACTTTGAACCTATCGTGACCTCGTCCACTAATTATATAATGTCAGTTGCTTCTGAGACAATAATCATAATTCACACTGCCGTGAGAACAAAGGACCAGTGCTGCTGTTTTTAGGGTGAAAACTCTGTGAGACTCAGAAAAGTACTGACGTCTTCTCAGCTGCCCACGAAGAGTCTGTCCTGGTTAAAACTGATGTATGTACATCCACCAGGCACGTCGTTAGCCTGCGTGGTTTGCATTGAAAATGTTTTCAGTGACGGGTCATTAAGTAACTATTCAGCCATTTATCTGGGATCCTCCAGGGTCCTTAATGGGGTTTTAAGGGGAACCAGCAGAAATGAAGAACAGGTCCTATTATGCTTTAAGTTTCTGTCATTTATATAATGTTATAATGTCAGATTTGGATGTTAAATAATGATGTGAAAAAATAATAAATGAGGTGAACATATGTAAAATTAATCTGAGTGAGTAAAAAGCTCAGAATTCATTTTTCTTTATACGGTCAAAAACAGGGAGAACAGTTCTGCTCAGGACTGAATAGTTTTCCCTGCTTCAACTCGCCGGGATTTACAGAGTTTACTCGTTAAAACGTTAAAACCAACGCTTTCCTGGTTGCTCTGAGCTCCCACTTCAGGCAGTCACCTAATAGGACGGCTGAAGTAGCTAACTGCTAACAACAAATGGCTAAGGCTGTACTTCCATCAGGACTTAAAATATTTTCCCCATAAAATCTGATCCAGTTTCACTAAAATCTGAGAATAAAGTTATAAAAGTGGTGCTTTTGCAACGTAATTCTTGTCTCATTAGTGATCTGATAAACAGTAAATTCATCAAATTCAGAGATATTATACATGCTAAAGTTATTGAAGCTGTCGGACCCTGGAGAGCACACCACATGAAGGGCCAGTATAAGATAAATAGGTCTGATTGAAGAAAGAAGCCACTCTAGTGGAGTCAGACTGAGAATATAGAGCTAGAAATGGACATAATAGGTCTCCTTAAATAACAACAAAACATAGCAAATCTGGGACATTTAACTTAAATTCCCTAAAATAACAACATCCCGTAAGAAAGGCCATGTGTCTGTTTTGGTTGAGCGAGGTCATTAATGTTCTGCTGCCAGCAGTAGCTTCAGGCCTGTACGATGACCACACATTCACGCAGATGTCAGTTAATCCAATAAAAAGTGAACATGGTCTGCTAAAAGATTCAACACAGAAAATTGACTTTTTTATAGACTTCATTGTGGAAAAGCGTGTTGGAGTAACTTGTGTTACAGTAATATGCCGTCTAATTAGTGCGGAAACAAACTGCTGTTTCAGTTCCAGTGACACCGTTTTATATGTTTTCCATCATCTTCGTCTCCCACTAAACCGTTTGAGATGAACAACAGCAGAATATTGTTTTATTCTTTGGGTTGTAATCCTCTTTATGCTTTAATAAACTGTAATTCTGCAACCCGCACACATGTAGAAACATAATATACACTATGAATTGGAGTAATAAAGCTCTGCCTCCACTCCCTAAAGAGCTTCCACAACTTTAGTGTGGGCGATGATCACACTTATTTCCAAGATTCATTCACATTTCTGTAGCCAACACAAAGAGGAAGAACAAACTGTGATAGGATACTGCAAAGAAAGATAGAAACAGATAAATGTGTGAGAAATGAATCCTGAATATAAGATGTTTAGATATAAAGCTTTATCCTGAGTCTTTAGGATGCATTTTAAGTGACAGCAGATTGTATTCCTCTGTTTATTCTACATCTGATGCTGTTTCTCTGCATGTAATGTAATGTAATGGCAATACATGAGAGATACATACATACCTACATATGACAACATATACAACTAAATTATGAGTTAGCGTCGCATACGTTCAACTTATAGAGTCACAATTTATGACTTTAATCATTATTCATTTTTTATCTGCATTGGTAGAAAATGGGCTTCCATATAAACTATTTTAAACTCTATGACTCTGATTCTGTGATCATTCAATTTTTACTGAAAAGAATCTAAATTTTTACTTAGTATTTGATCACTTTTTATAATCTATAACATCTTCCCTAACTTTTCATCATTTATTTTCTTCCTTGGCTGAAATTGGCTTCCATAAAAACTTTATTTTAGATTCTACTCTCTAACTAAGTGATCATTCAACTTTGATGAAGAAAATTATCATTATCATCCCTAAATTTTCATTATTTATTGTCTTATCCTGCCTTAAATGGGCTTCCATACATTTAAAGAGGTGATCTCTTGAATTTTAATTTGAAATGTTTGAAGCAGGATAAAATAAAACAGAATATTTATATAAATGTAGTTATATTTTAGTAAAATGCTGCACAGTACTGCTGCATAATACAAGCTGTATTATATATATAATAATGTACATCAGTGCTTATGATCCAAAACCAACATTTGGCAATAAAAGAACAAAGTATTTACGAGCTGATGACTTTATGGGCCTCAGACGTCTCCGACCCACCTGAAGGATCCGTAGATCTGCTTTTCTTTTCAGCGTAATCTCACGGTTTCTGACACACGATGAAGAACCACATGCTTCGGTTCTACTTCAAAAGGATTTGAAACCCATTATGTGTCTGCGTGTATGTCCTGTGGCGGTAAACTGAAACCTCACACAGAACCATACAATCTGGATTCAGGCAGAAAGAAAAAAACACATTATTGACCCCAAAACCAAATGTTTTTACCACAAATGTCCTGCACTGTAAAACCTGATGAGTTCGTTCAACTCATGAGAGATATTTGATTTGAGTAACTCAAGTATTTATTGCTAAGGTAATGTGGGTAATTTAAGTTAATTGTACTAATTCAATTCAGTTAATTGAAGTTTCACTCATATATGCAGCATTTCTCCAAACTTATTTAAAATGTGTGAACAGAATTGAATTTAAAGCTTCTTTATACAAATCGAACCACTGAAGTTGAATCCACTCTGCTGACACAGCTGACGTACAATAAAAAATAATTTATAATTTAATTATTTTGGTTATCAAAATGTGTTTTTTATGTGGCAAACATCAAATCTTTAAACTTTGGGGTTTATTAAGAATTATTTGGAGGCATAATTGATGCTTACGATGATTAATAAACTGAAATAAAACATGTAACTATACTGCATTATAATTTATTATTTCAAGGACTGGACTGTTGCTTGAAACCATTTAAGTTTATTAACTCAAACAATTTAAGCATGAAAGATATCTGAGTTGATGTATTTATTGTTCAGGTAACTTGGGTAAATTAAGTTTTTACATTTTAATTTAAGTCTTTAAGTCAACTTAAAGAAAATGAGTCACTGGAACAAACTGGAATTATATCACTAAAACTTAAAATACTGCTTTGAGTTTAGATGAATTAATGTTATTTTTATTAAGTTGTGTCGTCAGGTTTTACAGTGTACCTTTTGTTACATCATCACGGCGGTTCTCCGTCGTGATGAGCGACGGAGCGGCGTTCAACCATCTGAACGCTGTTTCTGCCCTTCACTCGCCTCACATCGTTCACCATTAGCCACGGATGTTTGAGGTTTCTGAGAGAGACCACATGCTGCTGGCTGTCAGACATATCATATCTCTGTGTCGGGCACTTTCCTGTCACTAACCGTCTGTGGCTGACTTTTCGTTTGAAGCGCGACTCAGATCTTTTTACACTTCAAAGCATACAAGCGCATACCTGTATGATCACCAGAATGAGCTCAAAGTGACCTTAAAACCCACTGATGTTTGGTCTGTGGGAAAAATGCGAGTTCGTCTGCACATGTTGGGTGTCAGGACGTTATGTCTCTGACAGGATCAGAGCAAATGGACCCCAGATTGTAGATTGAGAAAGAGACGGAGAGACGTTTCATCTGAGTACAACAGCTCCTTCTATCTGGATTGATGGTCTTTTAATTGACTCTTGAGTCTCTTCAGTGAAACATCCAGTAAAAGGGAAGAAAAAGGAGGAAATAGAACAAAGATGGTCTTTAATTCGTGAATCGAGGTAAATCATCCATGTTTCAGTTTAAATTCTCAACTCTACAAGAATATTCTTGATGAAGCAGCTTTTAAACTTTAAGTGACACTAACTTACAGAAACATTCCCGATTAAGTATTTTTTTAGAAGGTTTTTTGTTCTCACAGTACAAATAAAGATTAAATATTCACAATATTGTGTTTTCCTGTGAATATTTCCATGTTTCACAGGTAAAAATATCATAAACTGTCCCACTTAGGTTAGGATTTTCAGTATGAAGGCATTAAATATCTCTCTATAAACATTAGCTGACATCTTCCTGTGTGTGTAACCAAACACCTCATTTGCTTTTCTTTTTTGGGGAATTGCACACTGTTATAAGAGAGATTGGAGGTGACACACACACACACACACACACACACACAGCTGTTACTTTCTGACTGTTTGATCTCGAGGGTCCAGCCTTTAAGTGTTGTGGTTTAAATGTTTGACGGGCTGTTTTTTACTGCTGACCTCTGCAGCTACAGCAATCCAAATATAAACTCTCTCACTGATTGCTTCGGACTCTGGTGAGGAATTTATTTTCACCTGAAGCCTCCAGCAATCAATCCAGAGATCAATATATATTTATTTTCTACTCTTCATTTCCCACTTGTGTGTTGATACCCCCCCTGCTCACTCAGTCTTTATTATCTCTGTTCACTTTAATTTGCTGAATCTAATTATCTGTTGCTGGAACAGAACAACCCAGCTCCCCCACAGCGAACTTTAATTTGATTCATTTCTGATTTCATGCGCACAGTTAAGCGAACACACATGCAGAAACAGTGAGGTGGGTTAGTCTTTTGCTTGTATTTTACAATTTCATCATCAGAGTTAGACCCAGTTTGACCATTTCAAGGTCTTTTACATGATGTAAATTGGTGAGCCACCAGTCTTTATGCTAAGCTAACG